CAGTAGCAGAGACCTGTGTCCACAACTATTTTTGGATGACAAACATTTGTATCAGGTCAACTAAACATGGGCAAAGTAACAATATTTATTATTCTACATTTATACTTTTTAGACAACTAAGGCAAAAATGTAATTAATTTAGAAAATCTTTTCAGGACCCCACCTTGATGTTTCAGGACCCCACTTCGGGTCCTGACCCCAACTTTGGGAACCACTGTGCTAAACTAACACTGCGCAGAAAATCAACGTTGTTCAAAACTCCGCCTTCTGTTTGCTGATTGGCCCGGACAAAAATTCTCCTGAAGAAATACWTGYCYATGATCCCAGAAGGAGCAGTGAAGGGAAACTAGAATTGAAYGGAACTGCGWAGGAAGGCAAGGGCCAGGCTAACCAGGCCCTAATCTGTCAATAATTCTCTCGCTCCAACCATCACTCTTTACTAAGACTCCCAGGTAGTTGAGTTCCTCTGTGTCAGGCAATGACWCACTTCAAATCCAGAGGGAGCATTCTACATTTTTCCAGTTAAGAAGCATGGTCTTAGAGTTAGAACAGCAGACTTTAATCCTGGCAGCGAACCATCCCAGTGCACTCTGAAGGTCAAGCTTGAAGACGCCCAACAGAACCAAATCATCTTGCTTTGGTTATACAGATACAGGATAGCCTTTACAAGCAATCCCAGAAACCATAGCTTTTTGCATTGAATTCCTTGGGGAAAATGGTCATAAACATTCTCCAAATGCACAAAACACATGCAAACTGGAGAGTCAAACTCCCATGACCCTGTCAGCAGTTCTGCAGGGGTGAAGATCTGGTCCTCTGTTCCACAAGCCATAAAAAATGACACACTGCCCCACCTGGATTTGAGGTTTGACATTCAGTTAGAGCCTCCCTRCCAACACACAGGAGTAAACTTCTCAGATAATGTTCTGTCTGAGGTGTAGAKTTAGACTAGAGTCCATCCTTAATAGGGGCCTATTTAAACATGACCTCACATGACAATCCATTGTCTGCTATAATGTTTTTGTGTTTTTTAACATATCATGTGTTTTAGAATATTTTATTAGTTTTTTATGGATATTCTAGCAAGCTTTTTACAATTTTATGGTATTCTTGTGAGTCAGATGTCAAAGACAAGTCTCCATGTCCTGCAATGTTATGGATAATAAATTTAGATTAATTAATTGATGGATTGGTAAAAGTAAAAACTTTAATTTAAGCATGGGAGGTAGACAGACCTCCTAATGCTGAAAAATAGTGAATCTAAATTACTTGACATTGATTTATTATATTAATAAAATTCTCTATAACTACACCTGAAACTAATCATAGGTCATGTTTGGCAATAATTTATTTTAATTTCTTTTCTACTGTAAATTAAATTCTAACAAATCGTTCCCTCCAAGTCCTAATGTTGCAGAATAAGCACAGTATGTCATTTAATTGTTATTATTGCCACTTCGCAAATAACACCAAGGTAACGTGCTAAGATGAGATGACAATCCTGGCAAACATACCTGCTGCACATTAGCATGCTTGGATTGTCACCATGATGTTGTTATCCACCATAATTAGATGGAGTGCAGCCTCATAGAGACTGTAGCAAAGCTGCTGAGACTTATTCTGATTTTGACTGATACTGTTGCCCATTAATACACGAATCTTTCTTTAAAAATGATTTAAAGATTTGCTTTCCTTTCTTCCTGAATCACTAAAACCTTGTGTTTTTGCTTGTGTGTTTAGAGGCTAACCATTCCCACCAGCTGTCCGGCAAGTTTTGCAGAGTTGATGCGAAAATGTTGGCAAGCCGAGCCAAAGGTGAGACCAAACTGATGGCAAGTAAATACATGAAATCATTACTTGTAAGGAGAACATTTAGTATTTTACAAGCCTGTCTCTATCTATYTGTAGGATCGACCACAATTTAAGCAGTTACTGTTAACTTTGGAGGCCATGGCCAAYGACAGCAGGCTACCGGATCAGTGCAACTCTTTCCTTCATCACAAGGACCAGTGGAGGTAAAAAAAAAAAAGAAGATGCAAACAGTCAAAAATCAGAGAAGTATATATATATATCAGATTAGTCTGATTCATTGAAAACATTTGGCAA